AAGTTGTGGGCAGGTTAATTACTCAGTGAACTGAGTCCTGAGATGATGGAGTCTGGCTAGAGGCATCGTGGCAGTTTTGAAGTGTGGACATGAGCAGCTTCCAGGACTCTGTTTGAGTGTCCACTGGGCTGGCCCATCCCTCTCTGGATTTCACTGGACATCTCAACCACAAGTGGGTGTCTGCATACTTTTGGTGGCTGGTTAATCTCTTTTGAGATTTATTTATGAGTCTCTGGAGCAGGACTGGTAGATGAACTTACAGGGTGGTACTGTAGGTGATTAATGGGTATGACTCCTGGTACTTCTGAAAGTACAGTGAAGTGGAGGGAGATAGCCCATTTTGACTTCGAGAAGGCTAGGTGATTTCAATCACAAAGACCCACATACCTAAATTTTAGGCAGGTATTTTCTTGGTGAACTTGGTCCTGAAATGTTGAAGTATAGTCGGATCTATCTTGATTCTTTGTTTCGATCTTGGGCCTCACCCAGCAGTGGTCAGGGCTTATTCTGGCTCTGCACTCAGGGATCATTACTCCTATAGGGGCTTGGAAAACTTTATGGGGTTCCAGGTATCAAACCTGGGTTGATCACATGATGTTCTACCCAATTTACTATCACTCTAGTCCATCCATTTTGATTTTTTAAAGGAAATATCATATTGTAACCATAGGGTTGCTATCCATTTACATTCCCGACAACTGCATGTGAGAGTGCCTTTTCTCCACATCCTCACTAATATCCAAGATTTCTTTTCTTTCTGACACATGCATTTTCTCCAGCATGATGAGAATCTCAGTGTGGTTTTGATGTGCACTTCCCTAGTAATAAGAACCAGTGTAATGTTGCTCCCTCAAGGATTTTAACTGATCGTGTCAGGTGCCAGAGTGATAATCCAGTGGTAGGGTACTTTCCTTACACATAGCCAACCTGGGTTTGATCCCCAGTATCCTATATGGTCCCTTGAGCACCATCAGTAGTAATTCCCGAATACAGAATCAGGAGTAACCCCTGAGCATCACTGCATGTGGCCCCAAAACAAAACAAACAAACAATAAATAAATAAATAAACTGATAATGTGTGTAAACTTATTTTAAGAAAGAAATGAAATAAGAAGCACTTACAAAGATGGCAGCCGCTTCGGAGCTTTGTGGAAATCCAGGTATGAGCCGGTTGTGATGGAGCCACTGAAACCTCATGGGAAGGGGGGCGTTCCCGGCTCCTCCTTCACGCCCTACAGAGGTCAAGAATTGGCCCCCATGAGCAGCTCTCCGGCACGGCCATGGCTCCATAGAACAGAAGCCAATCTCATAATTATCTGACTCTCAGCAGAAATACTTCCAGGCTTAATAAGTAAAATACCAGAAATCCAAAATCACGCGGCCGCAATAGCGGCTGTGCGGCATCATTTGATTCTTGTAACCAGCTGTAGAAAACAAATTATTTCACAATGCCTTTTCAGCATGTCTGATTTGGGGGTGTAAACTCTAAATAATAATGGCGCATCTTATGTCGAAACAGTGAATCTAATCAAAGTAGATAGAGTGTTAACTAGAATTCATCTGCCTCACAGGCATTGGGAGGGTGGGGGGGCGTTTATTGGGGTTCTTGGTGGTAAAAAAAAAAGTATTGGTGAAGGGAAATGTATTTGATAATTGCGTGACCGAGACTTAAACCTGAAAGCTTTGTAACTTTTCCCACAGTGATTCAATAAATAAATTAATTAACAAAAAAGCACTTACTCATGTTTTATACTAATCATCATACATAAAATGGTCAAATAGTTAATTGTCTGCACTGCTTTTCCCAGATATCCATGTTTATTAATATACAGAAAGAAAAAAACCCAAAATAGTAGTCAAACCCTTAATGCAATCCCAGTTGGTTCCCATCTGTGGGGTTGCTGCTAACTGAAGCATGCCCCTTTGCAGGCCATTTCTCCACTCCCTCTTTCCTCAGTATTAGTGCTGAGTTGGAGGGTATGTTGCATGATGCAGGCACAAAGTCAAGTACGGGAGCAAAGCCTACAGTAGTAATCCTCTGCAGAGACATTATTTACTGGGGGCCAACTCTCAAAGTCCATGGGAGGACACCCCCCAACTCCTGCTTTATTTCACAAGCTGTAGAGAAGTGAGGAGGGGGCCAAAAGAAGCAACTGGTCATGATCAAGGGAAGTTTTCTACGTAATGGGGTTTGATGGGAAAAAAATATCTGGGTTTAGATGTTTCTCTCAGTCTAGTCTGATTTTTTTTGATGGTTCATTACTTAGATTTAATATAGAGTCAATTCAAATATTAGCATATTAAATATATTAATAGTAAAAGTTTAAAACTTGATTGGGTGAGTAAATAAAATAGGTCCTGTTTATTTACTTTACATATGTTTTAATTTGTTACATTAAAACCAGTTTAAGTGCACACACATTACTGTAACCATTCTTTTTGCTTGGAGGAAAGCTAGAATTACTGAAAAATAATGATATGCTTAGGATAAGGTACCAAAGAGAAAGGTAAAATGTATATTCATTATAACGTTTATTTATTTAAACAAAATCTGCATAAATCTGAACAACAACTATATCCACAATGGAAAAAAGTCTACTTGCCAATATAGTTTAGTTCATGTTTATTTAAATTTATTTTGTTTTTATTTCTGCGCTCACTCACAAAATATTATTGTAATGAAATGCCTAATTAAAGACAAAATCGTATTAATTACTATATAAAGCATAATTTTAAATTCTTCTTAAAGATAAATTTTAATGCCCATTAAAATGCTTTTTTGTCACTTAAATAATATCAGTATCTGTCTCTTTCTGAGTAAAGAAACAGAACAGTAAAAAAAATAAATAAAACCCAAGAAACCAAAAAAAAAAATAAAAGAAAGGAACAGAACAGTCAGTGAATGCCATATTGCCCATTTAATAAAGATGTAACAGAGAAAACGGGGATTCAGCCTAATTTGATCTTAGGCCTGTCACTCTGAGACACTTGCATGCCTGCAAGGAGAGCTATCACTTTGCCCCAGAAAAATTACTTTCTTGCGTTTTGTGGACCACACAGTTTCTATTACACCTGTCTAACATTTGTCAAATTAAAGCAGCCCTGGTGAATAAAAGAAATGGACACAGCCATGCTCCAATAAAAATTTATTTACAAAGCTGAACAGCACTTGGAGAAGACCCTTTCTTCATCCAAGTCTACGGCTAGCCATTTATTTTCCATCATTTTGACTTGGTTAAGATACTTGCCTTGAATGCAGCTGACCCTGGTTCAGGTACTATGTATGTTCCCCTGAACACCACAGGGAATAATTCCTGAGCTCAGAGCCAGGAGTAAGCCTTGAGCACCTCCAGGTGTGGCCCAAAACATCTTTATTCCCCCAAAAAGTATTAGGTATGGGGTCAGGAGATATCTCACTGGTTAGGGTCAAAGCATGGCACCCTAGTTCACCAAGGTAGACCCTAGAGCTGTTGAGCCCAAGCATTAAACTGCCTGGTTTGGAGGGTTGGATGTCACTAGAATGTCCCCTTGACACTGCGTAGGAGGAACTAAATACACATACATATATAGAGAGAGATGGTTTTAATAAAATGTCAAATTAGAAAATGTTTCTCATAAGCCTTTTGCTTCATCCATCTTATCCTACTAATAAAATTAGCAAAATATAAGAAGTTCTTGGTTAATGTTTAATCAAATAGAATACACTGCCCTTCAATAATCAGTCTCACTAAAATTTTTTGATTAAAAATTTTTGAGTTAGGTGATGAAATATTGAATGTGATCAAAGTAGAGAGTAATGTGGAAATTATCTGCCCCACAGGTAGAGGTAGGGTGTGGGATAGGGGTATACTGGGGTTTTTGGTGGTGGAAAATGAGCACTGGTGAAGGTACGGGTGTTTCATTGTATGACCGAGACTTAGACCCGAAAGCTTTGTAACTGCTCTCACGGTGATTCAATAAATAAAATTATAAAAAATGAAAAAAAAAGTAAGATGGAGTTCATGCACAATTCAATCAGCTAATCAGTGGCTGAATAAATGCAGTACTCCTACATTAAAAAATTTTTTGAGTTAAACTTCATTAATTAATTTCACATTTGAAGTTTTACAAATGTATCTATGTGCCCAATTCAGAACCTTCCAAATTATTCCTATAACAAATTAAGCTTACTAAGTGTAGAAAATTCAAGCTATGTTAAACACTGTAGGGGGTGGGGGGATGTGGCTAAGTGATAGAATACCTGCCTAGTATAGGCAGGGCCCCTGGGTTTGATCCATGGTCCACCACATACTGCTGGGCATGGATGACCCATAGTCCCTTGAGCACTGTCATGTATGGCCCCTATTAAACAGCAGAACAAGGGGCCGGAGTGGGTAGGGCACTCGCCTTGCATGTAGCTGATCCAGGTTTGATTGCCTATACCACATGTGGTTCCCCAAGTCCCATCAGGAGTGATCTCTGATTACAGAATCTGGAGTAAGCCCTGAACAGCACTGAGGGTGGCCTCCCAAAACAAAATAAACAAGCAAAAAAAAAAAAACCCAAAAATATTGCAATAAAGGCCAGAAGCATAACTCAATGAAACGAGAGCATGTTCCATATGTGGGGGGTCTAGATCTGACCCCTGGCACCAAATGGTCCCTTGAATACTGCCTGAAGTGAGCCCCAAGCCAGACCTTGGTATAGCCCCCAAGCGTTGCCAGGTGTGGTTCAAAAACAAACACCCCACAGCCACTGAAAAAATACAACCCAAGGAACAAATACAAAATATTGCAGTAACCTGTTTGTCTTCCCTCCCATTTTTCCTGAGTTACCATGATTAACAATAACTAATGATGGTTTCGTGCACCCACGGTTCTAAGCCCACACCCAACACTAGAATGCCTGCTTTCTTCCCATCAGTGTACCAAAGGACCCCCCCCCCACACACACACACACAAACACAGTTTGTTCAGTAGACAACTCTCCAGTTCTGTTACCCTTGGCAGTTGTTGCTCCCTTTATTTATTTATGTACCTTTATTTTAATTTTCAGAGATTCTGTTTTTTTAATGTTCTTTCTTTTAATTCAGAAAATTCTTTTAAATGTATTTAATGTGGATTTGACTTCCAAGTATTAGCATTTCATCCTTCCTCCTCCCCTTGCTGTGGATTGAAGTTGGAGCTTTGGGCATGCCAAATATATACCTTGCCTTTTGAGCTCTCTCCTGGCCCTAATTCCACTATTTCAATTGGTGGAAATATTCAGAGCAGACCCTGATTCATAATGCATACTTGTGAAAGTGTCTGTAAAATCAAAGACATAAGCAAATTGCCTTGGGAGAGGTTCAGTTTAAACTCCTTGGTTCTCTTTCTGCCTCCATTTTATTTCATTGGGGAGTGGAGGGGAGCCTGGAAAGGGAAAATAAATGCTGGGGAGGGGGGCCACACTCCTTAGGCCTTGTGCAGTGGGGCACTGCAGCAAAGCTTCAGGGGGCAAAGTGTGACTGGGTGGGAAAGCACAGAAAGCAGGACAGAGTCCTGTTTTGGAAGGTGGGGTGCAGAAACGATCTGTGGCTTTTCTACCCATCTCTGGGCTGTGGGGTCCCACCATGCTGGACCCCAAGGCTCCTACGGTCCAGCTGTTGGATGTACTTCTTCACCCAGTCTTGTTTGGGGTCAGCACAGATCTGACGCCCCCTTTTGGTTTGGAAGCTGTGGAGCAAGGAGAACAAGAGTGAGAAACAGGAGCCCCCTCCACATCCCTTCTCCAAGGGGGAAGCTCCCAGTCTCCTGCCCCATGTGGCTCCGGCAGAGAGAGCCTCCCCAGTTCTTACTGCAGGTCCCCTCTGTCTCTGGGAGCAGTAAAGGCCCCATTTGGCAATCCCACTTTCCTTCTTGCCACTGTCTGCGGCGAGCCATGCCCATCCACCCCCTCACTGTGGCCGCTCCACTTCCCTGGCCAAAGATTTCTGACTTTCAGACCTCATGGTGTTGGGTGCTATACTTACATGAACCCAGGCTTTGAGCACAAGTTACTGGTTCGAACATAACTTTCCACAAACTTGAGTGGGATTTTCCGAGGCAAGAAGGAAATACAGCAGACAACCATTTTTGTACCTTGTTCTGCAGGACAGATGGTTCATCAGCTGAAAGATTTTCTTTCTTTTGTTTGTCTTCTGGGCCACCTCTGGCTGTGCTCAGGGCTTACTCCTTGCTCTGCTCCCAGAAATTACTCCTGGTGGTACTTGAGGGGAGCATATGTGGTGCCAGGGATGAACCTGGATTTTCTGTGTGCAAGGTAAGAACCCTACTTGTGTACTATCACTCTGCCTCCCAGCTGAAAGGTTTTCTACTGCGATGCCAGGTCTAGCTCCCCATTGGAGCACTGGAGGGGGGCCAGGAGACATGATAGTCTACAGGGATATGGCCTCCCAACCTCCACGTGTTGGCTGTGTCAAATCTCCAGGCTTCGGGTTTTTGTAAACAGGAAGTCAAAATCTTTGAAAACTCACCAATTCAAAAAAAATTTTTTTAATTTTTACTAAAACCCCACTGCCATGCTTTGAACCAATACTGAGTGGCCACATCTAAGCACTGACTTATAGTGAAAGTCTCAGAGATTTTTCTCGAAATTGAAAAAAATACAAATAAACAGAGTTTATGATGATCTCCCAGTGTGCTGTGATACGATTATATATTCAAAAACAGGTCAAGTGTTTTCTAACAAAACCAGAATGCTCATCAAAGGCAAGAAAAGAAAGGAATATTCAAATGGAGGAACACTGGCACACTGTCCTCCCGTTGTTTATCGATTTGCTCGAGCGGGCCCACTAATGTCTCCATTTTGAGACTTGTTGTTACTGTGTTTGGCATATTGAATACGCCATGGGCAGCTTGCTAGGCTTTGCCACGCGGGCGAGATACTCTTGGTAGCTTGCCGGGCTCTCCGAGAGGGGTGGAGGAATCAAACCCGGGTGGAGGAATCAAACCCGGCTCGGCCGGGCTGGCTGTGTGCACAGCGGGAGCGATAGCACAGCGGGTAGGGCGTTTGCCTTGCACGTGGCCGACCCTGGTTTGATTCCCAGCAACCCATATGATCCCCCGAGCACCGAAGGAGTAATTCCTGAGTGCAGAGCCAGGAGTAATCCCTGTGCATTTCCGGGTGTGACCCAAAAAGTCAAAAAAAAAAATTTTTTAAATGGGGGCCAAAGAGACAGCACAGTGGGTCAGGTGCTTGCCTTGCACAGCTGACTCAGGTTTAATCTCCAACAGCACATTTGATCCTCCAAGCCCTCCCAGATTTCCAAACCAAAAAGCATAGAGATAGGAGTAAGCGGGTGAGTGCTGCTGGGTGTGCCTCCAAAAAAAACAAACAAAAATCATTTATAAATGGAAAGGGGTCAAAGAGATAGTACAGCGGGTAAGGCATCTTTCTTGCATGTGGTTGTCCCAGGTTCAATACCTGGCAATCCATACGGTTTCCTGAGGTTCCCAGGAGTAAGCCCTAAGCACCGCCAGGTGTCGCCCCCTGTCCCGCTCCCTTCACCTCCCCCCCCCCCCATACTGTACCTTGAATATTCAAAAGTTATAATACAAGGGCTAGGGAGCTATCTCAACAGGCTGGAGCTAATGTTCTGCTTGCTGCCACCACCCCCATCCTCGCCGTGGTTCCCCTGAACACTGCAAGGATCAACTGCTGAGCTGCTGAGCACTGCTGGGTGTGACCCCAGTAAGCTATCACCCCAAAATATGTCACTGTCTTCCCATTGCTCATCAATTTGCTTGAGCAGGCCCAGTAACATTGTGAGACTTGTTGTTACTGTTTTTGTCATATTGAATACATCACAGGTAGCTTGCTAGGCTTTGCCGTCAGGCGAGATACTCTTTGGAGCTTGCCGGCCTCTCCTAGAGGGGCGGAGGAATCAAACTCGGGTTGGCCTGGTTGGCTGGCCGCATTCAAGGCAAATACCCTACCCGCTGTGCTATCCTCCACACCAAAATAAAACCTGAAAAAGCAGAAAGCACTCATTTCCTCATTTGTAGATTGTCTTTGTTTTATAACAAACATTCTAGATAGAACTTGTTTGTTCATTTAATGCTGTTGGAATTATTGAAAGTGCATGCAAAGGGGCTGGAGTCCTAGCACAGCGGGTAGGGCGTTTGCCTTGCACGCGGCTGACCCGGGTTCAATTCCCAGCATCCCACATGGTCCCCCGAGCACTGCCAGGAGTGATTCCTGAATGCATGAGCCAGGAGTAATCCCTGTGCATCACTGGGTGTGACCCCCCTCCCCAAAAGAAAAGAAAAATGAAAAAGAAAGTGCATGCAAAGGCAATGTCCAGTCAGGTAGTTTGGGTAGATATTGCTTTGAAGAAACTTATTTCCTTTGTAGCACTGTACTGTAGCACTGTCTTCCCATTGTTCATCGATTTGCTCGAGAAGGCACCAGTAACGTCTTCCTTGTGAGACTTGCTGTTAATTTCTTTGTAAACAATGAATTTATTTTCTGAATTTGGATTTTTATTCAAATTGATATTGCTTGAAATGAGAGTCTATATGAATTAGCAAAGCTTTCTGGATTCCTATCTCTATGTTCCACATTTATAAATTCCTCTTTGTATTTCTTCAACAAAAGCATTTATAAAAAATAGTCTCTAGCAATTGTTCCAATGCCAATTTTTAGGACTTACTTTACTCACAAAGCTCACTATTTCTTGAAAAACCACTAGATCATCTCTCTAAGTCATACCCTCTATGCAAAAATCACTAATGTTTACCTATTGGTAACCTCACAACAGCTTCAAGCTGATGGACTGCAAGCCATTTCTTTCCCACATACTCCTATCCCAATTCCCCCAAATGCTTAACTTCATCCATCTGGTGTTTCTTGCTCTGGTTCTAGATTTCAGTGAATTTTATTTTTATTAATTTTTATTTTGGGGGGGGGATCTTGTTCTTCTTCACACCTGGGGGTGCTCAGGGCTTATTCCTGGCTTTGTGTGCAGGGATCACTCAGTGATGCTCAGGGGACCATATGCAGTGCTGGGAATCAAATCTGTGTTAGCTCTGTGCAAGGCAACTGCCCTGCCCACTGTACTATGAATCCAGCCCCATCTGTGGATTTCTTGAACCCAATAAAATCTGTACATTGAAACTTTAATTCTTATCTTACAGGAAAATTGTAGTGCTTTTCCCATGTTCCTAATTTCTCAACGGAGTTTTCTTGGGAGTTGGGATTTGGAATTTGGAAAAACAAATTTCCTGAGAAATGCTGAGAAGCAATTCCTAGCTGGATGTGCTAGTCGGGGTTCAGGGAGAACCCCATTGCTCTGTGTCTGTCAGGCTCCCTCCTCCCTGGCCTCAGGGGAATTAGGAGCTGGGAGCTTTGCTGTTGTTCAGGGAGCAGAACCTTGGACAAAAAGCAGGAAAGATACACATGACCTTAATTCTGTTTTTGAAAGTTGTGTAACTCCAGGCAGGACCCTCACCCTTTTTGATCTGTTTTCCTTAAAATGACAAATCATTGGATGAGGCAAATTCTATGCATATGTGTTAATATACAGACAATTGTTTTATGCAATAAAATTCTTACCACCTCCATTAACCTATGCAGAACTTGAGACTCAGGAAGGGGCAGAGAATGTCAGAACTATTTCATATGTAGCACTGTACCACTGTCCTCCCATTGTTCATCGAGTTGCTCTAGTGGGCTCAGTAACATCTCCATTTTGAGACTTGTTGTTACCATATTTGGCATATTGAATACATCAGGGGTAGCTTGCCAGGCTCTTCCGTGTGGGCGAGATACTCTCGGTAGCTTGCCGGGCTCTCAGAGAGGGGTGGAGGAATCAGACCTGGGTCAGTCGGGTCGGCTGTGTGCAAGGCAAATGCCCTACTGCTGTGCTATCGCTTCAGCCCATTTCATATGTAAAATATCTAAAAGTTGCCATTCACAAATAAGATTGGCCAGGACCCAGCTGAGGCTGTCTGGGAGCCCAGAGTTGCCGGCCGCTCCACCTCCATATCAGCATTGATCGATGGACAGCTGACACCCGGAATAGACATTTCAGACATTATGGTTTGATGAGGGAAATCGCCTTGAAATCCATTCCTACTGCCTGGTAAAGCTGTTTACCCATTCTTGCATTGCTGTTCTGGAGAAAAACACGTTCCCTTTTGTGGAGGTGTCCACCCCCGGCCTGGTGCTTGACATTCCTGACCCCACCTACTGTCTCCATTGCTCACCACCACCCTTTGGGAAATGGTGATCCTGCAACGGTTTGCAGTGGGAGATGGAATTGGGGAGAGCACTGGAAAACTCTGTGGCTGTTTGCACTCCTAACCCCTACCCCTTTACACAGCGCTGCTTCCCTGGTGGCAGGGGTGCAACATGAAGGTTTCAGAGTTCCCTGTGAATCTGGCTGACATTCAGCTCGGGAGACATGTTTGCAGGGAACGTACATCCCAGGGTCTTGGCTAGGCTGCCTTCGCCCCAACTTCAGGCCCTACAGAGGGGCAGCCTTGCAGTTCAGGCAGAAGCAGCAGTGAAGGGAGTTAGGACACCCCAAGTCTCATCTCTGCTGCTTCCTCTATATACCCCGCAGGTGTTTACTGCATACCAGAGGCATTAATGGATGAGTCCACAGGGAAAGAAGAGACGCTAATACAAGGTCTCAGACTCAGTGGATCCCACAGCAGTTGAAGGTAGCTTGATAGTGGGGACCCCTGGGAAGTAGGACACATGTTCCCTGTGTAAATGGAAAAACACCCCTGGTCTCTCCAGCCCAAAGTTATCTGGAGGATACTGGTTCACAGGTCAGCTTGGTTTCTTATATTCAAAGTTCAATTCAAATATTGTAAAGCCCATCTCAACCCCAAAGATAGATGGGTCCTGGGGGCATCCACTTTCCTGACTTCTGCTCAGCGATGGTTCCCGGCCAACCTCCCAGGAGGCTACTGAGCTACTAAGCAGGAGCTGGAAGACTCTGGGTTGGGTCTTCTGTACTGGGTCCTCCTGGGCCAGGGAGGTTATCTCCCGAGGTTGGTGGTCATCTCCCTCAGGAAGGAGCGTAGGTCCCTGGCTCAAGAGTGAGGGAGAGGTTCCTACTAATGAGAAAGAGGCTGTTTTACAGGACCCCCTTGGACACCCTTCCAGGACCACGCCCACCTCCTCCCAGCAGCTCAACCTCTCGCTACTCTCCATGTTGTGGGTTCTAAGGAAAGAAAATCACAGTACTCACCTTCAGCGACCTCTGCCGAGGTGAGGATAACAACCGCGAGCAGGAAGGCCCAGGGGAGCAGGCTGACCCTCATTCTCCTGTTGTGACCAGCTGCAGGTGCAAGATTTGGAGTTCTCTGCCTGTTGGCAATCTGGGTTCTGAGCCACAGTTATAAGAGATGGTCGGTCAGGAAGTCACATGGGAGGAGAATCTAAGATTGTGTGGGTGGTGGTGGGGGGTGCACTGGAGAATCTGGACTTCTGGAAACTGGGTCAATCTACTCAAGGGAAAACAGAAGGCGGAGAATGACTCTCCCTTTGACAGCTGCCTCTGATGTCTGAGAGTTTCTGGATTGGGAAACCCAGAAACCAGGGGGTTGGGGTGGAGACGCCCTTCTGCCTGGCCTGCCCCAAGAGGTCTGATTCAGACTGCCCCTCTGTGAGCTTCTCTCTGACTTTGGACTGGCGGTTCACAGGGATTCAGTCTGTGGCATCAGGGCCCCCAGAATAAAACCAATGAGTTCTACACTTCGTCTAACCCTAGAACAGAGTTTGGGTTTAGGCCTGAGTAGAACGGGCAAGTGGAGAAATGGGCTTAGAGGGAATGAATCTATCCATCCAGGATGAGACCAGAACCCCTCACTGAATCTGGGGTGCGGGGACTCTGTTCCTCAGCATCCCAGGAAGAGGTTGGGTCAGCTCTGCCTTGGGGTGGGGCAGGGAGCCCTGCCTGCTGGATGGAGCTGGAGGGGGGACAGAGAAGCTGCTGAGCTGGTCACTGGGGAAAAAGACAGGGACAGATGCCCGTGTCTAACCACCTTGGAATTCAAGGCAGTACCCACACAGTTCCTAGGGTTCCCTTTCACAGGGCAGTGATCAGACCTATGTTCCCATCTGGAGCACAATTTCCCCTCTTGTCACCTCAGGTGTGTGCTAGAGGGTGGGTACCAAGGTTTGGTTAGTGGGGAGGGATGGTGAGGATCATGGGCTGAGGGGCTCCTTTCAGTGCCAGTGCAGAGGTGAGTGAATCTGCAGGGACTCTGTCCCACCCCTAGATAGTGACTCTGAGCCACCTCCGTTCCCACCATGTTCAGATGATGCCTGTTAACTGGTTCCCTTTTTGGGGAGAGGGTGCTCCAACATCTGGTGGTGTTCAGGTGTTCAGGGGTTACTCTGTGATCAGGATCACTCCTTGTGGGCTTGGGAGACCGTATTGGGTGCTGAGGTTCAAACCTAGTCAGCTGCATGCAAGGCAAATGCCCTACCTGCTATACTATCACTCGGGCCTCTGGTCTCTTATTTCCCATGTGGACAAAGACATCCTATAATGTTTACCAGTATGAGCATCTGTGTAGGTGGACAGTTTGGTGGTGATCTGCACCCATCACCCTTGCATCCTCCAAACTCTGCATTTTGCAGAAGTGAAACTTGTCCCATTACACAGTGAATCCTTGTCCCCTTTTCTCTGCTTTCTGGAAATCATCCACTTCCTATTTCTGTGACTCATTTCTTCAGACTCCTCCTGTCTAAAGGGGAATCCTATTGAAGAGACATTGGCCGTTTGGGTGACTGGCTTATTTTACTTAGCAAGGTGGTTCCAAAGTTCATCCTTCTGCTGCCAATGTGATCATTACTTTCTATTAATGGCTGAACAATATTTCATTTTAGGTATTTTATCCTTCATCTTGGATTTTATGTTTTAGCGATTGTGAATATCCCTGCTATGAAAGTATACATATCTCCGAGCTATCCTGTTTTCCTATTTTGTGGGTGTATACCAGAAGTCAGATTGCTGGATCATATGGTAAATCTGTTTTCAATTTTTTGAAGAGGTGCTTCCACGGCAACTATATTGTTTACATGCATGCCAACTTCTTCTTATTTCCTGTTTGTTGCATTGTTGTTGGTTTAGTAGTAGGCATCCTGTTGGGTGCATGGTGCTGTCTTAAAACGTAAACAAAGGGCTGAAGTGATAGTACATTGCAGAGGGCGTTTGCCTTGCATGCAGCCTACCCAAGTTCGGTATCCCATATGGTTCCCCGAGCAAAGCCAGGAGTAATTTCTGAGTGCAGAGCCAGGAGTAACCCCTGAGCATTGCTGGGTGTGACCCAAAAGGCCAAATAAAATAAATGAATGTAAACACCTGTGCTTTAAATATATATATCAGCTTTGTATCAGTGGGGTCCCAGGAGCATTTGCTGGCAAAGATAATGTTTTCCTAATTAAACAAAAAGCATTTTTATGGAACTAGAGAGAGAGTACAGCAGGGAGGGTCCTTGCCTTGCACATGGCTGACCCAGTTCAATCTCTGGCATTATGTGTGGTCCCCTGAGCACATCCAGGAGTGATTCCTGAGTTCAGAACCAGGATTAACCTCTGAGTACCACTGAATGTATCCCCCAAACAACAAACAAACAAAACTCTCCAAAACCAAAAAAGCATTTTTAAAAACCTTATTTTTGTCTCTGTGATTTACAATAGTGTCAACACTGTGGATGATGATGAGGTTTCATGCATGCACCATCTTAAGGCAGCATCTTCCACCAGCGTGGCAGTTTCCTTCCACCATTCAGCAACAATAAAAAGTGTAAGGCCCAACTGTAATGGAAGGAAAACTTAATCTAATCAGACGCATTGTCTTTAGACCTGAAATTCACCACTTAGGGAGAGAGGGAGAACTTTTGAACATATTAATGGAGATTTCAAGTTGCTCTAGCTCCTAAAAGGACTGTATAACAGATACATGGTCCTGGGGAGTGACTTTTGGCTCCTCTGTTGGCACCAAGACCTTCCACAGACCCAGGCACTTTTACTCAATAGCTGCCCGCTGAGCTTCTCTACTGGGTTTTTCAGAGGCCCCAGCACAGAGGCAGACAAGGAAGGTCCAGCCTAGCCCTTTTTCTTCAGAGCTGTAACTTCTAGGGACGAGGTGGCCAAAGGTGACAGCAAACAGTGGTGGGTGAGAGCTAAAAGGTAGGAAGAGGGACCAGGGAGAGAATCAGAGGGATGAACCTCATACCTTACATGCACCTTCAAAGTGCCCTGGTAACCTCTGAGCATCACATGTCAATATGCCCAAGCACCAAACTGTTAGGCCCATGTAACTAGACCTAGAGTCTCTGGAAGTGATCCCAGGGCCCCCAGCACTGTAGGGAAGCACTCCTACCCCACAACCCCACGTCATCCCCGCCTCAGCCCCCTCTCCCTGACACCCCAAAGAAACTAGAAAGAAAATAAGGAGCTGATGTGATAAAGCCAGCACTGTCTGCACTGTACTGCACTGTCCTCCCGTTGTTTATCGATCTGCTCTAGCGGGCCCAGTAACGTCTCCATTGTGAGGCTTGTTATTACTGTGTTTGGCATATTGAATATGTCACGGGGAGCTTGCTAGGCTTTGCCGTATGGGCAAGATACTCTCAGTAGCTTGCTGGGCTCCCCGAGAGGGGCAGAGGAATCGAACCTGGGTTGGCTGGGCTGGCTGCATGCAAGGCAAATGCCCTACCACTGTGCTATTGCTGATAAAGCCAGCAGGTACATGAAAGTTACTTCTTAGTGTTGTGCCCAAATTTCAGACCCCCAATTGCAGAGAGACCCAGTTTCACACACGATAATGCAAAAGCAAAGGAACTTTATTACTAGCCCGAGTGCTAGCTCGAGCTAGGGTCCAAGTCTCATCCAACACAGTGGAGTCTTGACAAGGACCTCGACTCCAATTCACAAGCAGTTTATATAGGATTCAGTCAAGAAGTGGTTTATATACTGATCTATTTTTAGCATTGCCTTATTACAACAGTGGTCAGCAATTAGACAGCAGGTACCAGTAAAAGTTTGGAGTTCTTTCCAAGAAGAGTATGGTGACCCCTACTGACTGTCCAAATCCAAGTGCTCAGTTCTTATCTAGGTGAATTACTCAATTGGAAGTTTACCAGAATCTGCAGTTCTGCTTTGGGGACACAGAAACTGTGGCCTAGCTGAGATTTAATGTTAGCTGCAGCCTGTCATGGCGTCAGTTTGGGTCTCACATTAGTAAGCCAGATAGGGTTGGGGGTGAAGTCCGCTTAAGTGATATTATTTCAGCTGGGCCTTATTTGTTATTTTTAAGTGGGGGGGGTGGGGGGGACCTTACTAGAGTGTTCGGAACCACCAGAGTTATCCCCAGTGGTGCTCAGGATCAAAACCAGGCATGGACTCTAGCCCTTTGACCTAGTCCCCAGCAGAAATTTTCTTTTATTTTTTTTTACATTTAAAAGTAAATTTGTTGAAATAACATTGCAATGAACATTAAACATTACATAAGTTTCATGCATTCATCATTATAAACCAATATCTGTATGTACTAAAGAAAAAAGGAAGTATTTTTGTTTAGTTTTAAATATAAAAATCTCTTAGTAAAATTCTTATTCCCCTTTTTGTGTTGAGGTAACAGCATTGCAACAGTCCCCATACTATTATTTTATACTTGCAATGCTTCTTCACCATCCCCACTGCCAGGGGGCCCGTAATGCTCCACCTCTGACCCACGATCCCTTCTTCCCTACATGAACTTTCTTTAAAATAGAAAAGAATTGTAACCCCTGTGCATCGCCGGGTGTGACCCAAAAAGCAAAATAAATAAAATAGGGAAGAATTGAATCCTTTTGACTCAAGGTCAAAGGGAAAATTACATAATAAGGTGGAGGGCAAGACTGGTAAATCAGAATCCTACGGATAGTTTAGGGAAAACCTACTTTAGTTTGCTTGTTTGTTTTTTTGTTTGGGGGCCACACCTGGCACTGCTCATGTTTTACTCCGGGCAGGCCTTGGGGGAATCATAAGTGGTGCCAGGGATCAAATTCGAGTTGGCTGCATGCAAAGCAGATGACTTATCCATTGTACTATCTCTCCAGTCCCCATAAACTTTAACTTCTGTATGTCTTGTCTCGGTTTCTCTTTGTTTCAAACCCTCTGGTGTTCAAGGCTTTCTCCTAGCTCTGACCTCCAGGACCAGCCACCACCATGCTGAGACCACTCTCCGCTCACATGAAGGTACTGGCAGAGGGACAAAGCCACGCGGGTTCCGGGGCCGAGATCTCCGAGCCTACTCGAATTGGAGTCGAGCATCCTCCACCCAGATCCTCCAAATTCCAGTAGGCGGGGGTCACACCCACCACCTGGCCCCCTGGCGCCTTGTAATCCCATCAACGGCCAAGACTCAGAGACTACAAAATGCAGCTCCCGGAACCACAA